CCTGTTCCTCTGTTTAGTTCAGCTTTCACCTCAAGACAACATGGGGAAAAAATACAGTGGTTTCCATACTAGCATTCCATTCTGGGCCCTGGGCCATAAAAGAGACTCAGATAATACTGGACCCAGCTCAGAGAGGGGGCCCAGGCAGAGGCTAGAGCTGGCCTAGTTGTGTCTGAGACCCCATAAACAGTATCTCCAGTTCCTCAAAGGTCTACTGTGTGAATAACCTCTTAGCCTAGATGTCCCCAAGAGCTGGTATTGGATCCAATGGCTGGAAGCCACAGTGGGAGTAGCAATGGTGGCTCAGGATAAGACTGAGCTTAAAATGCAAAGGGAGATCAAGTCGTCTCCTGACTTGTAAGCTCTGATGCCTTCCCATCACAACTGCAAAGCAAATCCAGGGCCATCTTGGAGGGTTGTCCATGCTACTCACCACAGAGCTCTGGGCCCAGGAGTGAGAGCATCGAGGTTCTCTGGGAGTTGTTCAGGGTGCCACCTGGTGGGTGTTATTCTCTTTCCTATCACCTGAGCTGCTGCCCCTCCCTGCCAGGTGACTTGCTTAAAGCCAAAATCATAGCCTGTTCTCAGGGTCATATTCTCTTTCAAAATGCACATCTTTGGCTTTAAAAGAACTGTGAACTAAGATTTTGTTGAGCAGGGACCAGGACTAGATGTTGCTAGAGCAAACGACATGGTTTTTAGTACAGCAGTCCCCCCTTATCTGTGCGGGATACATGCTAAGACCCCCAGTCGATGCTCGAAACCCCGGATAGTACTGAACCCTATTAACAATAATAACTAATAATAAAATAAAACTGTTATAATATACTGTAATAAAAGTATGTGAATGGCTTTGAGGCTTTTATTAAGTAGAATAAGAATTACATGAACACAAGCACAGTCGCTGATAGCCAAGGCAGCTACTAAGTGACCAGCGAGCAGGGAGCATATACAGCATGGATGTGCTGGACAAAGGGGTGAATCACACGCCAAACAGGACGGACAGCACAAGATTTCATCACGCTACTCAAAACGGCACACAATTTGAAACAGGAATTGTTTATTTCTGGAATTTTCCATTTAATATTTTCGAACTATGGGTAACTGAAATCTCAGAAAGCAAAACTGTAGATAAGGGGGGACTCCTGTATCTCAGTTGATCCTTGTGAGGAACTGTTAAGAGGTATAAAAGAAGACTCTTTGTAAAGAACACAGCATGATTCAAATGTATGGTTTAATTAATTTATTTATTTGTTATAGTGACATTGGTTAACGAAAATATATAGTTATTTTTATTTTGTCATCCTTTAGACCAGTGCTGTGTACTAGGTATATAATGTGATCTATATATATATATATAACTTTAAAATTTCTAGTAGGTATATAAAAAGTTACAAAAGGGGATGGGGCATGGGCAGAATAAATCCAGACTTCTTGTCTTTGCTCACGTAGCCACATACCAGGCTCCCCTCATTTCACCCCTGCCTTCCAGAATCTTCCAGCCACATGGGCTTCTTTTTTCCAGGCTCCCTAAGAGCAAGCCCCTTATCTGTCTGGTTCACTACTATATCCTCAGGGCCCAGAACAATGCCTGGCATATAGTAGGTTGAGAAAGTGAATGAATGAATGAATGAATGAGGAACATGTGAACTAGATGGGATTGTTCGGAAGTGAATGGACTATCAAGACCCCTGAACAAGGAGATGAAGGAAGGTAGTGATATAAATAAGGGAGAATGATGCTGAGGCGTCAGTCGTATTTAGAATAATGAAGTTCCAGAAAGTCCAACAGATTGATAGCTTGATATATATAAAACCTCTGGATATCCAAAAAGAAAAAACTTTTAAAAATAGATGAAGCAAGTAACTGGGGAAGAAATGTAGCAAAAGGTTAATAGTCTTAATATTTATAAAGATCTCTTATAGATCAATAAGATGAGCACCCAATAGAAAAACAGAGTACAGGCAAGAACAGACAATTCAAAAAGAAAAAATACAACGGGCCAATACACTTATAAAAAGTGGTCAGCCTCACCAGGAATCAAATAAATGCAAATTAAAACAACAGAGACATTATCTTTAGCCTGGCTAATTAGTGAAGATTACATATGATAATACCTCATGTTAGTGAGGGTGTGGAAAAAACAGGCACCGTCATTCACTGGTGGGAGTGCAGGTTGATGCAACCTTTCCAGAAGGTAATTTGGCAACACGTAAAGCTGAGGAAGATTGCAAACCCTTTTGACGCAGCAATTCCACTTTTAGGAAGATTGCCTTAGGAAATAATTGCCGATAATAATAACAATAATAGCTAACCTTTATTAAATGCTCTGTGCGTGCCAGGCTTTACATGCATTATCTCATATAATCCTCAAAGCCATCTTCCCAGGAGACGGGCGCTATTATCACCTGTCTTTTACAGATGAGGAAACTGAGGCTCGAAAGAATTAAGTCAATGACCTGAGGACACAAAGCTAACAAGTAGCAAAGCCTGGATTTGAACCCAGGCAATCTGAGTCAAAAGTCACACTGCTGTACAGCAGTGTACACTGGGTGTGTGCACTGGATATGTAATGTATACACTGGATGAAACTGCAAGGATCCTCCTCTGGGCTCGTTTATGAGGGGGAGGGGAGGGAGAAAAGAAAACATAAATTGTGATATACCCATACAGAAATATAATGCAACCATGAAAAATGATGCTAGAGGAAAAAAAAAGATCTCTGAAAGGATATAAAATTGGTTGCCTCCTGGAAAGGCAACTAACCATGTGGCTATGGTCAGAAGCTAAAGGAAGACTTGTTTTTTTAAGTCATATACCCTTTTTCACGTCTTAAATTTTGAATCATGTGAATATATTATCTATTAAAATAAGTATAGATCTATAAATACATATATATAAAGTTATGTGGAATAAGTTCTATATTCCTTTATTTTTATTTTATTTTATTTTATTACTTTATTTTCTTGAAATATATTACTTTATTTTCTTGAAATGCTACTCAGCGTTCCAAGAAAAAAAAGTTTCAAGACCTTTACTTGGACAATCATACTGAAGTCAATGAAGATATTTCTTTAACTGTGTTTACCTATATGCTCCATAAACTGATTTGCTCATGGAACTCTTTTCTCAAATACTATCTGTTATCATCTGTCTGGATATTCGTGTCCTATATAATTCAGTTTGGGAAATATTATTATTAATATTTAATGCCAAGATGAAAGGCTTATATTGTTTCATTAAATGAAAGAAACATGTTACTGGCAATGACTCCTTTTATGTTTGTTTCCAGTTTTTATTGTATTTTTTTTTAATTTTTTAAATTTTTATTGAAGAAATTATTTTAATTAACTTTAAAAAATTTTTTCCCCATCTACCTCAATGATTCCATTTTGTTTAAAAGTAAGTGTGTGTGTGCCTGTGTGTGTGTTTTATTTCTGAGTACTAGGATAACGGATGATTTTGTTTTCTTTTACCCATTTGTATTTTTAAGTTTTCTAAAATGAACAAAATCATTTTACGAGAACTGTTCTCTTAGTCTATGTCATACATTTTTTAAGGCTTTGGGAGCCTTTTTAGGATCCCTTCGTCCCTGCACCCCACTCTCATCTACTCCTTGCTTACAAGCAGCAGCTCAGGTTAGGTTCAGTGATGGGCCCCTATCTATAGCCAGGCCCTCTCACCTGCCTTTATCTGGAGCTAGCTCAGGTGTGTTGCTCTGAGTTGTTGAGGGAGGGACTGATGGCCTAGATGGGGTCAACCAGTACCCAGATAATTCCCTGGCCCTAGCACACCCTCTTTTCTGCTGCTGGAAGGATAAAAACAAGGATCTCCATTCTTCAAAGGTAGACAAGACTGCAAAAGCAGACACTAGCCTGATGCATTGCAAATCCAGGTGTCTGGGCTTTAGTCCCAGCTCTGTCGCTGCCTGGCTATGTGACCTTGGTCAAGTTTCACTGAGGCTCATCTTCATTATCTATGTCAGTAATGACTCTTGCTCAGGAACCAATGAGAGCATGAAGGCATTGCGTGTTCTGTAAAGGGCTATCCCAAAGGAAATTATTATGTACCCTAGCAAGGAACTTGGGCTTGCCCTCATCACCTTCCTGAGGACAGAGTACTTTTTCCTTTCCTTTTTTTTTTTTTTTTTTTTTTTTTTTTTTTTTAAGGTTGTTGGAGGGAGAGGAGCTAGGGGATAAAGCATGGGAGACCCGGGCATGTGAAAATAGAATGGTGTTTAAGAAAAATGGGAGAAGCTTCTAAGTTCAACATTTGCAGCCCTGCATCCGTGGCTGGGCCTGTGTGCACCAGTGCAGCCCCATGCCTTTTCCCCCACACAGCCATTCCACTTCACTCATTCAAGTCAGCCTACCCCACTGGACCACATGTGATTCTCCCAAGCCACAGCCATGACTCTGCCTGGCCCACACTCTCCCTTCTCCTCCTAGCCCCACCCCTTAGATCTTAACTGAGTTCTCTCCTCCCCCAGCCCTGGTTGGGGTTGCTCCACTGGACTTCAGCATTCCCAGTTCTCCATGAACCATGTTGTGATGTTAATGCCAGGGCAGGTGCTATATCTGTCATCTTGGTCCACCTTTGTCCTCTGGGCCCAGCGTAGGCCTGGGGGGTGCTGAGACAGGAGTTATAGGTCCTTAGCACTGAAGTCAAGGAGCTTCAGTTCCCCATCTATAAATGGGTTTAATCGTTGCAGTGAACTCATGGGGTTATTTTCATAAATCAATGCATATAAAGCTCCTTGTACCATTCCAGGTATGAAGGAGACTCTCCACAGGTAATAACCACACTGACATCATTGCAGACCCTTTGTGAATGCTCATGGAATTAAACTAGGAAATGACACCAGGAAGGGTGGCTCCTCAAGCTCACCCCTGCACCTCTCCAGGCCCAACCCAAGGACAGTGGCCCCTCCTCCACTGCTCATGCTTGATACTGTCCCCCACCCACCACCATGCTCACCTCTCTGCCTTATACCCCTACAGCCACCAAGCCCAAGCTGAAGAAGATGAAGAGTCAGACAGGACAGGTTGGAGAGAAGCAATCGCTGAAGTGCGAGGCCGTGGCCGGTAACCCCCAGCCCTCCTACCGCTGGTTTAAGGATGGCAAGGAGGTCAACCGCAGCCGAGACATTCGCATCAAGTATGGCAATGGCAGGTGAGCAACAGCCTTCCCTCCCTCCTGGCATCTCCCTTCCTGATAAGGTGGGGCCTCAGTTGGAAGAACTCTGTGCCATGCCCCAGATCACCTGCGGATCAGGTTCTGGTACCCCTGCCTTGCCAAGCCCAATTTTTTCTTGCAGTTCTGGTCCTTTCTGGTTATGTTGACTCACTGTCTTCAGACTATAGATGCTTAATTCATGTCTCTGGATGGTTGAAAGCAATTTGATTGTCAAAATCAACTTTACCTGTGGAAGTCTCCTTTTGTCCCTAAAACTTCTCAAAGGACCTGCCACAGTGTCTGAAAGCCTGCCATTTTGGCAATCTTTGGTGAAAGAATCTGCAGAATGCATCTGGGAGGTGATGCGTGATAATGGGCTGGTTTCTCAGCTCAGCTAACTATACTGAGCAGAGAGCTAGGTGATGGGAGAAGACTGGTGTTGGAGGCACCTTTCTCCCTGCCCTGCAAGTTTATTATCTGTTCTCCCAGCTTTAGCCTCTTTTCCTCCACTGCCCCATTCTCGGTCATCCCCACCTTTTCTGGGCCACAGGCCCCCTTGTGAATTCATAACATAACATCAACTGTGTGCCAGATGCTCTGCCAGAGGCTGGAGATACACCAGGGATTGGAATTGACACGGTCCCGAACTTCACAGTTTCTAGTCTAGCTACTAGTGTATAATCTGGTAAAGGCCTTAACCCTTTCTTTAGAAAGAAATGTATCTCATCCACCCAGTTTTGCTTACAATTCTGGAAGTCTACAGTCACTGACTCCCGTGACTCTGACAGGGGACGATGATCTCTCTAACATGGGCATGTATCTGATCTTCCATTCATTTACTTGACAGATCTTGAGAGCCTGCTGTATGCCAGGTACAGCCCAGGCCTTGGAGCCCTTCCGACTCCTCTTCCTGGCCTCTAAGTCACTGCCCCACTTTTCCCCAACACCTCAAGTGCTCCTCATTCCTGCCCTTTCCTTTAATGACCCTGGACATGGGCCCAGGCTGTTCCCTATGCTGGCAGCTGCCCCATACACACACACACACTCACTGTCCCTTGGAAAGTTCTCCAAGGCCCAGCTTACAAGTCATATCCTCCACACCTTCCTGAGCCCTCCAGGCAGCTCTTGTCATCTCCCGTTGTGGTGCCTTAGACACAGTTCCATTGCCTTGTTGAGGGGGATGGGGGGAGGGCGGCTGTCTCTCTTTCTAGCATGAAAGAGCCTCAGAGTCTACACACACACACACACACACACACTTCCCCCTCCACTTTATGGCTTGGCAGAGGAGATCAACATCCACATGTAGAATTAATGAGAATTTTGCAGGATTAGCTCTCCTCTCTTGGGTACAGAGTGACACTAAGACTGGGGGAGTCGTTCTTTGGGTTGACCTCAACTTTGAGCGATTTAGTGTCCGGGTAAAGCCTCAGTTTTATCTGACAAGCAGGTAACCCAGTCCAGAAACAGGGCCTGGTCAGCTCTTTTCCTTCTGGATATCAGGGACCCCTAAGAGCCTAAGGGTGCCCCCGTCCCTTTCTTGTCAGAGCCCTAACCTATCTGCTGCCTTTAGGAAACTTCCTTGCTCCATTCATCCTGACCCTGGGCTCCCAGCAGTGAGTGGATGGGGTGGAGGAGTAGGCTATAGGGAATTTCTGATTCCCCTGTTGTGACTCAGAGAGAGCTGCCAGCTCCACACGCACTTCACCTTGTGTGGGAGCCAAGGGCAGGGGCAGGGATCTCCTTTCTGGCAGCATCCTCTTTCCTTCTGCCCAACTGCAGCTTGCCCTCTAGCCCTCTTACTTAGCACTTCTTCTGCCCAGGCTACACTCAGTCTTGACATCACTCTCAGCCTGCAGAGACCCCCTCCCCGGCAGGTGTCGTCTGTCTCAGGGACTGCTCCAGGAGGTGTCTCACCCAAACCTTCTATGCCAGGAGAAAACTGGCCCCCCAAGCCCTGGGCACAGGGCCCTCCCCTGCAGAACCGCGTGTTCTCGGCCCTCTTAGCACTTCTTCTGCCCAGGCTACACTCAGTCTTGACATCACTCTCAGCCTGCAGAGACCCCCTCCCCGGCAGGTGTCGTCTGTCTCAGGGACTGCTCCAGGAGGTGTCTCACCCAAACCTTCTATGCCAGGAGAAAACTGGCCCCCCAAGCCCTGGGCACAGGGCCCTCCCCTGCAGAACCGCGTGTTCTCTTATTTATGAGGGGCAGGCTGGAACAGGCCCCTCGGGCAGGCAGAGGGAGGTAGACACTGAGGAAAATGTGTGGACGGGTAGAGGACGTGGCCGCCCAGATCCCATCTCTGCCAACACAAAGCTAGCTGAGCAAGGAGGGGAGGGACGTCTATCACAGGGGCAGACCTGGGTCAGCACGGCGAGGGGCTACCAGGCCTGCCAGGAGGTAAGAGAGAGTCCTGAATCCCGGGGGCTAGTGAGGAGAAGAGAGTGTAGTGTGTGTCATCCCCAGCCCCTCTGGTCCTTCAGAGCCAGAGGGACCCATAGAGCCCCACCCTTCAGCTCTGACCCCAGGGCCTCTTGTGCAACTCTGGGGCCTACCTCCCTGAACTGGCAAGATCATCATCATACAGCTGGTACATGCAGGGGTCATTGTTCTGTCCCCTTGCCTCTTTCTAGTTCCTCAAAGGGGAGGGGCTCTCCCTGAGCCCTGTGCCTCCTTTCCCCAGGACTCACACTTTCATGTGGGAAGCCCCTCCTTCCAGGTAGCTTTTATCCCTCTGGATATCTATGAACCTAGCTCTGCCTTGCCCTGCTACATATGATGTCATCTAAGGGAAGATTCTTTGAATTCAGCTGTGAGTGACAAGGAGGTTCTGACTGTGTGTCCCCTCTACCTTGACCCTGTGACCCTCAGGTGACCAACCCCCCCCCGCCCCACACACACACACACACACTTTCTGCTTGTTTAGTGTCAAGGAAGAGCCGGTGGCCAGGAAGCAAGAGAAGCCTAGTCCCGGGCTTTGTGGCATCTAATTAGGCCAGGCAGGAGATGCTTTCTCAGCCAGAGGGGCCTCCAAGGCTCTGTTTAATGAAGGGGACAAACTTGAACTGACAGAAGTGGGTTGTAGACAGACATCAGGCCAAGGAGACACTGACTGGCTTGAGCCAGGAAGGATAGGGGGGAGTCAGGCAGCTGTCACCATGGCATCAGTAAGGACACCATCACAGCAACAGGGTCTAATGACAAGACAACTTCATGGACCCTTGTTTGGGGGATTTGGAATGAGTAGGTCTGGGAAGAGTCCCACTCCTAGAAACAGAGTAGGGGGCAGCCCGGGAGGCAAGTGCTCAAAGCACAGCCCCAGTAGAGATGTGGCTCAGTTTATCATCCCCTCCACACCTGTCCCAGCCTCTCTGCTCACCTCCCCTTTCCTCCTTTCCTCATTGGTTCCCTGACTCTGGTCTACACGTCTGGGCTCAGAACATTAAAAGCTGTGCCAGTCAGTACCCTTGGACAAGTTCAAAAGCCCCTCTAGAACTCAGTTTTCCCATCTGTACTGTTCTGTCCATCTCCAGATTAGCTGTGAAGGTCAGGTCAGGCCACTAGAATAGGATCTTTTAGTTCCCTGAGGTAAGCAAGCTCCCGGCACTCAGAAGGCACTCAGTAAACGTTTATTGAATGTGAATGAATGAAAGCCCCTTGGAGACACCACAGAGGGCTAATGTGAAGTCGCGGAGAGCCACAGATTGGGACTGAGAAGCCGGACACAGGTGCCATGGGAACCAATTAGAACAGGCCCTCCCCAGGTACCTTGCATACCTAGAATGACAGGCTGCCACTTTTTTTCTTTCCTTTAGAAATGTGGAATCTTTTACATAGTTCTTACACATTGGTTATGAAAGTTTCCCAGCAAAAACGAAGCCTCTTGTATCAGGCAGTGCAGAGGGGGGAGGTGGGATGTAAGGCCATCAGCCTGAGTAACAGTATGTACCTTAGATGTTGAAGCTAATAGCATATTAAAAAACATGGAATATGTAAAATAAAAGGATTTTCATATACATCTTAATTTAAAATAATTAATGTATCAAATCCCTGTTTCAGACTTGAACCTAAATATCAAATTTAAGAGTCCAGACTAGTTACTGTTACCATGGTTCTTCCCCACATGTAACACACAAACTATTAAAAATAATTTTAAGACCTTCATATTCTTAAATCTAAATTTGTGAGGTATTTCCACAGAAATCTTCCAAATAATCTTCTAAGGGAAGGCTAAGTAGCTGGTGAGCCACTGGCTGACCTGTTGGGAGTGTGGGGGAAAACACCAGGACTGGGGGAGGGGCACTGAAAGAAGAGGAGGGAGGTGGCCATGTGACTTCCTAAGGGATCCCCAGAAAAATAGCTGCAAATAAGGCCCAGCCCTGGAAAAGTAGATGTGGGGATTCATAGATTTAGAACATATGTGTAGCCACTAGCCCCACCCTGTGTTCTCTCGAGTGCCCAGGTCTCCCTCCAGCTCCAGGGACTCAGCGTTCCACCCAGACCCCAGACTCTACTTCCCATCCACCCTGCACAGCCACTGCGGCTTATGGGAGACATGACCGCTGGGTGACCGCTGGGGAGCCACAGCCAGCCTGGACCCTGGCTCACACCTCTCCCCCTCTTATTCTCTCCCTAACCAGAAAGAACTCACGACTGCAGTTCAACAAGGTGAAGATGGAGGATGCCGGGGAGTATGTCTGCGAGGCCGAGAACATCCTGGGGAAGGACTCGGTCAAAGGCCGGCTCCACGTCAACAGCGGTAGGTGGTCCCCTACAAAGGGAGGGGTCCTACAGGGGTTCAGTGGGGCGGGCCAGTCCCCCCACAACCCTCAGAAGGCCAGCACATGATCCGTCTTGCACTTGACCCCCCTCCCTCCTGCTGCTGCCATATCAAGCCCCGAGATCTGGGCCGATTCAGAGAAATGCAGTCGAAGCATAAATGTTTAGCTTTGTTATCTGGGCCTGGAAGAGCCGCCAGCTCTCATTTTAAATACCCTAAAAACTAAATATTTTGAAATCAAGAGGTGGGGGTGGGGGAAGGATATTTTTAGAAGGTAATTATGGGAGGCTAGGCTGCCAGGAACTGGGCTCCAGGGAGAGGCAGGCCCAGGATATGTGTGCGAGCTGCCTGCCTGTTGCCTGTCGCTTTGCTAGGCACCCACGTGCAGGCAGCTGTCCTCACAGCGCCAAGGTAGGAGGCTCGTGTGTCTTTGGCCCCGGGGACAGCTTCTGTTCAGTGATGACAGGCCTCTTCCCACATGTCATCCTCTCTCTTGAAAACTTATAAGGTCAAGAGCTCAGGTCACCCTATTGTCCCCTCTCTGCAGTGGCGGGTCCAGTTCGAGCATGGAGGCTGCCTCCTGCTAGGCTGTGCCCTCTGGCCCTAGTCATTTCCTTTGACTGGGGAGGCACCAGAACTGCCTGTCCTCAGGCTGCACCCCTCTACTCTAGCGGTTGCACAGGCCTCTTCCCTCCTCCTGACAGCCACAGAGTGAGCATACCATTTGGCTCTCTGGTTATTTGGGTTCACTTCCAACTCCTGCCTTGTCATAGATTCTAATCCTGTATCTGTCGTCACCCACCTGTATTTCCACCATAGAGCCTTCTAGGTCTTTCTAAACCTAACGTTGTGGAACATCCTCTGTCCTGAGCCCTGCCTTTGGAGGAAGACCCAACTCAGACCCTGTCTGCCCTGTGTTATGAGGGACCCCTCGCTCTCCCAGCCTTTCAGGCTCCTCCATCCCCCTTACTACTGTAGCAATTGGGTCCTGGTCAGGCTTCTTTCTGGATCTTGCTCACGCGTGTCCTTTACATTCCAATCTCACCTCAGGAGCAACCTTGGCCCAGGTTTCATCCCTATTTACCTGAACCAAAGCAAAAGCCTCATAAGACACTTATCCTGTCATGCACCCACCCCATGGAGCCACAAAGACTTTGTCCCATAGCCCAGCTCTCAAGGAAAGGTACAAATGATCTTTCCAACCCTGACTGCAGCTAGTCCCTTACATCTCATTCTTATTCTTCCTCCCACACCATCTCGCCCAGTCAGCCTTCCTCCTTGACCACTCCAACCTATCACAGTACTACTCCCAGCTCAGGCCCCATCCCTGGGCCACTTCTTGGCCAATCGTGGTCTTCGTGTATCTCTTGAATTCTAGCCTTCGATGATTCTTCAACTCTCATACTGTTGCTGAGCTTCCTCTGTGGGTGTGACCTCCCCAGTGGAATGATGAGCCTGAGAGTGGGAGAGCAGGGATGATGCCTTCTCCCCAGGAGTTGCAATAAACTACAGTCACTGAGAGCATGCTCTGTGCCAGGCTTCCCATTATCTCTTGAGCCCTTACTCAAGGCCATGATGTATTTTATAAATTATGAGACTGAAGGTCAGAGAGGTTAAATATTCTGCCCAAAGTCAAACCGCTGGTTAGTGATAGAGCTATACAATGTAAAATTAGTTGGCAAACACTGAATCTATTCTCTCTGGGGGGCCCGCGTACCACCTTGGCCCTTGGGCCTAGCACACTGCCGGGTTCATAGCAGGCATCTGGGAAATATTATATAAAAGGACTTAGAACCTGCTACAAGTTCTTTAACTGCCTCCACAATGCCCCAGGTTGGGCATGGTTGCTGTGGGGGTACCTGGGCCCCCCACTCATCCCAACCTGCTCCAAGCCTGGGAACATGGGCCTCCCAGGAGTCCAGCACCTGCCACCTCAGCCAGAGTGGGCAGACAGTCTCAGGTCCACTTTGGATTTGAGGTGTCCTGTTTTATTATTCAAGACTTTCTTGGTTAGAACTGACAAAAACCCAACTTAAAACTACCTGAAGCAATGTATTTATTGGCTTATGAAACCGAGACATCCAGAGGTAGAACTGGCCCTAGACGCAGAGCAGGGGTCAGGACGCTCTCTCCCACTGGTGTTGGCTTCATTCTCCCCTACTGGAAAATGGGCTTCTCCCTTGTTTGGGGAATGGATTGGGGAGAGGAGGCCATGGCTTCAGACAGCTCCAGATTTACATCATCCCAACTCGACACCCAGAGATAGCTTTGTCTCTGTCTATTCAGTCACAGGGATGGATTCTGACTGCCCCTGCTTAGGTGATGTGCCTCACTTGGCCCAGTCACTGTGCTCAGGGGGATGGGTGCCATCCTTGCCAGGCCTCTAAGTGTGCAGAGGGGATACTGAGAGGCAGAGGATTATGAGTGTGGCCCTGCCAGAACTATGGCGGGAGGCGGCGGGGGGTGGGGGAGGCTTGCTGTTAGCAGAGGAGGAGGGAAAGGTTCCCAAGCAGAAAACCACATTAGTGCCCTCTTGCCTTTACAGGGCTTGGGGCCTGAGCCTGGGGACTGTTGTGAGAACCCCTCAGATAAGCTGCAACCCACCCCCCCATGCAGGCTCTGGTCAGCCCTCAGCAGCCCAAGTTCTGATCAGTTTGGGAGCCAGTGAAGCTTTGGGCTGGCCCTGAGGGCTTCCCACAGGGTTCCTTGCCTCCTGTCCCTCCAGGCTAGCAGGAGAGTGGCAGGGCAGAGTGGTGAAAAGAGTCCAGAGCTTTGGTCCTAGCTTTGCAATGCAACCCTGAGCGAGTTATTCCACCTCCCTAGCCTTAGGTCTTCCTATCTGAAGCAGAGCTAGATGATCTCTAGGCTCCTTCTACCTTGCTCATAGATAAACCTCTGGGATTCTGAGTTTGATGCTGAGGCTAACATCCTGTGCACCTAGCCACCACACTACACACACACACACGCGTGTGCACGCACACGCACACATACACACACCACATCATACCACACCTCTTCTGTTGCCCTGTTGAGTCCATGACAGGCAAGAGCCTACCCTTGATGTGGGGAGATGAACAGGGCCACTGCAGGGGATGTCATTTTCCCAGCAGAGATGCTCAGGCTTCCTGTTTACCCATGGAACCCAGAAGACCTGCAGCAACCACACCCTGGGGAGGCAGGTAGAGGGCGGGTAGTGGGCAGCTGTGCCTGCCCCCCTCTGACACATCCCAAGGTGGGTTGGCTTGGCCCGCCTGGGCCCCAGGGTAGCCAGGGCTAGTAGGTGGGGAGGCCAGAAGAGGGCATGGGAGGGCTGGCAAGGAGCAGTGGCTGCTCAAGTGGCATCACGGTGGCTCTTGGCTGCCTAGTGTAGCTCTGTTCTGGTGAGGCTCAATTCTCCTTCCCCACATCACAGCACACCCTTCACAGCTCAGCCAGCTCACAAGAGGCTGCGTTCCTGAGTTGGCTGCGATGAAGAGGAGTCGGCAAGAAGTTTGTGGTGCTTTTAACAAAACAATCTACTTGGTCCAACCCACTTTTGAGTTAGAGAAACTAGCTCCTCGTCCCCAGGGGAAAGAGAACTTAGAAATGTCCTGGTGGCTGTACCAGTTCCGGGATGTCAGGCTAGGCCTGTTTTCACCCAGAGGGCAGCACGTTCGACCTGAAGTGTCACAGGACCATGGAAGCCCTGGAGAGGTTTCTGGGCCTGTTCCTTACCTGGGGGCTTAAAAAGGCTAGCTGTTTAATCACATACACATGCAAGCATGCGCACGTGCGTGCGTGCACACACACACACATGCAGTAAGACCTTACTCAGCAAGATCTTGTTCTGAGCTCTGGGGAGTTACTGTCTGGGCTCCCACCAAAGTTCTTTAAATGACAGAAGCTAAAACCTGAACTCAAAGCATCTGCCTGTTCTAACACACTGAAGAAAAAGTATAGATAACTTTACCAAAGGGAAAGGGGGCATTTGGGCAGGCAGGAGAGGAGCCTCGATGGATGAAGAGACTCTTGATCTGGGTCTTGAAAGATAAGCAGAGGTTTTTCCATGAGCAAGAGAGAAAAACAATTACAGCAGCTGGCAGCAGGGAGAGCCTCCCCACAGCATCAGCTTCTCTCCTGACCCACTCTCCCTTCAGGTCCCTCATAAACCCACTCACACCAAGACGTTATGGCTGATAGAGGCTTCCTGGGTTTATCCTGCCCAAGCATTTTTTAAATTCATTTTTTGAGGTCTAATTTACATACCATAAAATGCACTCTTTTAAAAGTATACAATTCAGTGGCTTTTTTGTATATTCACAAAGTTGGATAGTCTTCACCAATAATTCTAAAACATTTTCATCACCTCAAAAAGAAACCCTATACCCATCAGCAGTCACTCCCCATTTCTCCCTCCCCTAGCTCTTGGCAACCACTAATCTTCTTTCTGTCTCTACGCATTTACTTACTGACATTTTATATAAATGGAATCATACAATATGTGGCCTTTCATTAGTAGTTTCTTCCACTTCATATAATACTTTCATGGTTTATCTATGTTGTAGCATGTATCAGTACTTCTTTCTTTTTATGGCTGAATAATATTCCACAGAATAGATATACCACATTTTGTTTATCCATTCATCATTTTGGGTTGTTGGGTCATTCGAGTTGTTTGAGCTGTTATGAATAATGCTGCTATATCATTCGTGTACAGGTTTTCGGTTATCTCAGGTATATATATACCTAGGACTGGGATTGTTCCATGTTTAATTTTTTGAGGACCCTCCAGACTGTGTTTCAAAGTGGTTGTGCCATTTTACATTCCCACTGGCAATGTATGATGGTTCTAATTTCTCCTCATCTTCACTTGTTATCATCCATCCTTTTTGATTACAGCCATCCAAGTTGGTGTGAAATGGTATCTCACTGTGGTTTTGATTGTCATTTCTCTGATGACCTCCCAGGAATATTTGCATTTCAATAGGAGACAATGCTTTAATCTACAGAAAAGTTATCTTATCAGCCAAGGTTCAGGAGTGAACAAGACAGACATGGCTCCTGCCTGAATGGAGCTTACATTCTAAGGGAGGGGCTAAGCTTTAAACAGCTAGTAATGGCAGAACTAATCATTTAATTATATTAGAATCAGTATGACAAGTACATGTGTATGAAGCTAAGAGAAGGAGTAAGGAGGAGCCTGAACAGCCTTCTCTGAGACACTGATATTTTGAAAGTCCTGGACAGGAAGGTACTTGGCTTGTTAGATGAGCCGGACTAAGCCAGTGTAGTCTGAATATACTGCAAGAGAGGGACAGAACATGAAGCGGGAGAGGTGGGGAGGCCCAGATTAGGCCTGGGAGGGGTGGAGGGACTCTATTCTGAGTACACATAGAAGCCATTGGTGGTTTTGATCATGAAAGTGATTGATCAATTTACATATTTTAAAGACCACTTTGGTAGCTGCAAAGTAAAAAAGTTAGAGATGAAGGCAAGGGTGAGGGCAGAAAGATCAGTGAGGAATCTATTGTGCTCATGCACCAGCGAGACCATGGCCTGGGCTGAGGAGGCAGGAGAGAGACATGGATGGAGCCTTGTGAGGAGGTAAAAAGGCAGCCTTCTGTGACATATGGCAGGGGGAACAAAAGAGGCCAAGAATCAAAGATGCCCTGTAGGTCATAGGTTTGTGCTGTGAAGTCACTGGTGACCACGACTGGAGGAGCACGTGGCTGGGCAGGTGATTGGCAGCTGAGTTTGGGGTGGCTCGGAGCCATCCCAGTGGAGGTAACAAGGGAGCAGCCAGACTCTCCAATTTGGAGTCCAAATGTGTCATCTTCACTTCCCCAAACATGGGAGAACACAGTGAGGAAATACAGGTATGCTGACGAGGGTGTACAGACATGTTGCCTTGTGAAGGCCCTGCCATCATGGGTGTGACCTTAAGGTACTTATTTCTAAGGTGGAAAAGGTTATGGTCACTTCCTCCCACACCCTCTGTGACCAGCTCCCCAACTGGCCTCCCTTTTAGCCTTTCTGGGGCCCTAGTCCCCATGACAACATGGTTCTGGCATCCCAAGCCAATGCATCCCAGCTGGGGCCCCGTCTTCCCTCAGGAGTTTCCTACTGCCTCCCAAGGCCTCTATGAGCACAGTTGACAGCTATGGTTCCTGCCACCATCTTTGCTGCTGTCTGCTGCTCACTTAGTGCTACAGTGGACAGGCTCTGCCACCCGTGACTGCAGTAGAAGCCAAGCTGAGCCTGGCAGGTCCAGGCTGAGATTTCTCTGGCTTAGCCAAGGCTCACAAGAAGACCCAGGCCTGTGGCCCACATCAGTTTTGTGTTCATCTGCTTATGTCAAGCTTTGGTGCTGACATGCTCTTCCACGAGGGACTGGCTGGCTGGCAAGAATGCTCAATCAGGCATCAGGAGTTCAGAGGTCTTGTCACAACACACATCATAACTCTGGGCAGGCACTTCCCTGCTCTCTTTCCTCACTCTCCCTTGGCAGTGTAACCAAAGGGCAGAACAACCTCTAGCGTCCTTCCAGCAACAGGATTTTATAACTAACAGGCATGGTCACCTCAGCTGTTTCTCTTCTCTGTCCCTTTCTTAGTTCCCTGGGTCTCAGTGACCCAGAATTGGGACGGAGACCAGCAAGAGGCCTCTCTCAGCCAGCATGTGGGTCCCAGCTGGGTGTAGGGTTGAGCGTAGGCAGGATACCTCAGCAGGGGTGGGGCTTAAGGATGCCAGACCAGCAGCAGGCATGATGCGGAGGGGAAGGTGGGAGCTGGCCCTGCCCGCTGGGTTTTATCAGCCAGCTCCTCAGACATATACAGAGGACGCGCTGTGTATACACTCCCCGTCCCCGCGCTCCATCTGTCTCCCCACACGTCTAAACACTAGGGGCGCGGAGTGCCTGCTGTCCTCCTCCTTTCACCCCTCATCACTTAGGGGGGTGGTAGAGACTCGATATCCCTGAGGAGACAGGACCAGCCAAGGTAGAATGTGTCACCTCAGTCAGGAGGCCGCTGCTGGGTGAGAGTGAGGCCCTGAGAGCCCCAGAGGCTGGGGTGGGCGGAGCAGGAACCCCTTTCTGGCGACCCGATCTGGATATACAGCCCAGGGGGTTAGCTTACAGATGGAAACTGGCATTCAAGTCGAGAATTTTCACTTGAAACCAGCTTTCCAGATGCCATCCCACGGGAGAGCAGAGCTTTAGTTATTTTCATTTATCAGATGGAGCTGATCAATCAGATGTATAGTCTGGGTTAACAGCGTTCAAGCCCAGTCTTACAGAGGGAGCAGTTTTTGCTAGCCTCTCGCCCCCTCCAAGAACAGAAAATCTTCCTGGCCTTTGGAGGATTGCCCAGAGCACGGGTGTGGGGTGGAACTAGGCAGATGGTCAGAGCTCACGGTGGCCTCCCCTTTGCCTTAGTGACTGGGAGGGACCCCCAGACCTTCCCTCTCCAGCCACCCCTGCAGTCTCTAACCTTCCAGCTTTGAGATGGGTCCTGAAGGAGGTGATGCCTGGGGCCCAGAGGTGGTCTCAGTACGTTACTGGCACATATCTCTCATACCTCTAGTGAGCACCACTCTGTCATCCTGGTCAGGACATGCCCGGAAGTGCAACGAGAGTGCCAAGTCCTACTGTGTCAATGGAGGTGTCTGCTACTACATCGAGGGCATCAACCAGCTCTCCTGCAAGTAAGTGACCGGTGGGGGTGGGCCTGGGGGCTAGAACAGGGTGAGAGAGGGCAGAAGTGGTGGGCTCTAAGAAAAGTGGGCTTCCAGACACTGAGAAGTGGTCCCCAAGGGGTATAGACAGGGAGGTTTTATCCACTTTCTGGAATAGAGGGAGAGGTAAGCGCTAAAGGGCTCAGGGCTTCTGCAGTTCGTTCCGCAGGCCCCTACTCGCCCCATCTCCCGGTGTCCGCTCTTTCACCAATACCTTTTAGGGGGATGGGGATGCCAGTCTATGACTGGGCATTGAGTTTTCTCTCTCTCCCAGGATGTGTCTTCCCCAGAAGTGAAGAGCATGGCAGGGTCAGGCAGAGCATGAGTCCCGAGCCCTTGGTAGCTGAGAGTCTGCTCTTGGAGCCTTGAGGGGAGAAGAGGGCTCCAGCCTCAGTGCTCACCTCAGGACCAGCTGGACCCCAGTGTCCAGATCTGCCCTGGGTGCTGCCTGTGCTCCTTCATTTCCTAGCCCCTCTCTATGGGGTGAAGGGACACCAGCAGGGACACCACTCTGGGTGTGGCCCAATGGGGGAAGTCACGGTTGAGGAGAAGCTCAAGCTGGGGCTTCTCTGCCTCCCTAAGGGCCAGGGCCTACTCTCCAGCAGGCCCTCCCAGGAGCTTAGCAAACGGGACAGGTGGGAGCATAGTAATCAAGGAGGGCTCGTTCAGGCCCAGCCAGATCTTCTGGACAGCTGGGCCCACAGCACCCCCTTGACAGATTCTCTGATGGGTGAACAGGACGGGGAGGGGGTGTTTGGTGAAGGCAGCACAGGTTCTGGCTGGATCCTGAAGAGGAGTGGGAGGGAAGCCTAGTGAACAACTTTGGGTTTTCAAAGCAGCCCAAGCCTAGGGCCTGGCAAGGTGCCAAAGCTGCCCCATTCCCATGGCATCTGGGCAAAGGCCACCAGAGTATCGATGGAGGTTCAGAGAGAGGCATTTGCCCTCCCCAGAGACAAAGTCAGATTCAGCGCTCCTCAGCTCTCCTGCTCTCCCTCCTGACTATAGCCTTAGCCAGGACTTTTAAAGACCAGCCCACCACACAAAGTGATAGTGAGGGGCTGTGCCTCCTTCACACTCTTCCCTCAGTGTGCAGCTAGCTGGGCCTGGACTGTCAGGCTGGTCTGTGCCTCTTGACCCAGCTGGCCTCCTTTGCCAGCTTCCTTCCCCATCCCACCCTCTACCTGCTGCCATCCCCTCCCCGACCTCCCCCATCCCGAATCTCAGGGGACAGTCCCAACAGAAACAGCAGGCCCCCTAGGGAAGTTCTCAGCCCAGACTCAGCCCCTCATCTTTTCCCTCTTTCTGCCTCTAGGAGGCTGCCACATTAATGCTACAGACCCTGGGGAACATTCTAGCCTTGATAACGCTGTGAGCTCTTTCAAATATACCTATAGAAACTCATAAGGGTTCTGGAACAACTCAGAGAAAGCCCAGCCTTACACCCCCTTCTTGTCCACCCCCAACACACACACACACCAGGCTTTTCTGCCCTAGCCCCTTAGACCCTGGAACCTTGAAGAGAATCTAGCAATGCCACTGAAATCATCCCTGGCTCCAGGCAGGGAAGGTTTCAGCCACCCAGGACAGGTGCCAGGGCTGAGGAGAACCATGGGGACCCAGAACTCCAGTGCCAGAGAGTTTAGTGTGGGAAAGAGAGTGATGAGCTAAAGGGTTTCCAGAGGGCCCTGCCATCAAGGCTGTATCCCTCTGCGTCCCACCCAGCTACACCTGAGAAGAATAGAGGGCAGGAGCCTGAGCCACTGTGAAGATGGTGTCCTGTTTCCCCTCCCCCCAGGCAACTGGGGGGTCCCTGCTTAGCACTTGAACTTGGTACCCAGGGCCACCGCCTCCCATGTCAACCCTCCCTGGAACCCACTTCCCTGACTCCCTGAGCCCTCAGGGGAGAGGGGGCAGCCCTGGTGGGGATTGCAGCCAGGAGGGCAGGTCCTCAGAGCTGTGCTGGAGAAGGACAGGGGGGAGGGGGGCCGGGCAGAGCCCAGAGGCCATTCTGGGGGCGGGTGAGTAGGGAGGGAAGGGAGGCAGGCCTCTTGGGATTCCTGATGACACCTGAATGGAATACAAAGGAGAGAACTCAGGAACGGGACTCACGTCTTACCATTTGTGCTGTTTGTTTACTTTTTATTTTGATTTTTTTGCATTTCCGCTTAGCTTGGATAATGAAACTAGACTGGTCAGTTTCATTCCAGTTTCTATAAAAATCAGTTTTCCTTCCTGGTTTTCTGACACTTGTTGTTGTGTATTGGTTCAGAGCCCTGCCGGGGGTGTTGGAAAGCAGGCACACTCCGTCCCTCCTGTTTTTCTGGAATTCAGAGCCAAAAGAAACAGTGTCACTGATACTGAATTTTGTTTAAAAAAGGAAAAGTTAAGGGGATTTGAAAATGGGGGTCCAAATCAAGGGGACTGCTTCCTGTCCGGGCCAGACAGGGGCCTCTGCACCTCCTCTTGCTGCTTTCTCCTCTTCTCTCCGTGTTTTTGTAGAGCACGGTTGGTGCGTGACTCTTGGGGACTGGTTCAGGGGATGATGACAGAACAAGACTCTCTTTCCAGCCCTGTGCACATACCAGCGGCATGCCTCCCTTTCCCATCAGCTCATCCCCCTTCTGCTCCCCCACCCCGTTGTCAGGTGATTCTCCCATCCCATACCCCTGTGCCTGCTCATCTTCTCCACATCACCACCCCACCCCTTCATGAGGCCAGAGACCCTTCCCCTCCCTCCAGTGCCTGGGGCACACCCTCATCCTTCATTCTCCCCCTCCCCCCGGGTGAGGGCAGCACACATGGCATTATCCCCAGGCTACCAAAAGGAGAAACTGAGGCCCGGGAGGTGGGGCGGGAAAATGGGGAGGCAGAGTCCCAACCTCTCTGTCGCTCCAGACGCAGCCCGTGGGCTCTCCTCTCTGCCCCTCTCTCACTCCTGCTCTTCTCCAGCCCTGGGCACAGACCTTCCCATAGTCATAGCTGATGACTTAGCGGGAAGGGCTAGGGAGGCTGTTATATGCCGCTCCTTCTAAACTCTTCCCTCTGCTCCTGTGCCAGGTCGGTCCCTGAGTGGGAACTCACCCTCTACCAGCCAGCCACCCACACTGAGTTCAGACTCCACGCCTGGGTAACAGGCTAACATTGCCTGTACCCTGTTACCTGGTCCTGGGTGCAGGATGGAGAGGACTGTAGGCCCAGCCCAGAACCTTCTCTAGGGAAGCCCCAGCCTCAGGATGTGGTTCATCCTCAACAAGTGAGGCTAAGGAGAGAACAGGAGTGTCCAGGAGCCCCCTGGAAGGAGCCAGTTCCCAAAGAACAGCATGGGGTGTCAATCCTCCCCATCCCCACGTTGTGCCCACCCCTCACTGTCTTTTCTTTGGTTCAGCCAGTGGGGACACACTTTCTCAGGGCAGGAAGGTTAGGACAATATCGTACAACTCCAGGGGGCGTGTTTGTGCTGTAGACCAAGTCCATGGCGCCACCCAGAGTTGTGCAATTCAGTGGCCATGAAAGATATGAGGATACATTTAGGTTAGTCCCGGCTGGGTGTGGGATCAGGGACACAGGGGTGTGCTTAGTTATCACTGGTCTCCAAGAGCCATGAGACAGCACCCCAGACTGTCAGCATTGGGAATGGACTTCTCTTTGTCTCCTCCAGCACTCCCCGGTTTTCACACACACACACACACACACACACACACACACACACACACACACACGTTTTCCCTGTCTCCAAGAAGAGCCGGGCTAATCTCAGACATTGGACACAGACAAACCTATCTCTTTCTTCTTCCTTTGCAAATTCCAAGAGTCATTTTGGCAACTTCCTAGGTCTTTATCCTCTGCTCCCAAAGGTGCTGCTGCTTGAAAAATCACTTCTCCCCTTCTAGTCCCCATCCCAAGTAGACTTCAGTTTCTGAGAGCTGAGGAAGAAGAGCTGAGCCTGACTAGAGCTGGTTGGGAAGCCTTAGCCACGACCTGCATTTTCCTGGGCTGGGATGATTGGGGATGAGGGCCAGGGATCAGAGCAGGATGTGTTGACAAGGTGGTAGCCTGCTCCTCTGAGCCACCCTGTTTAACAGGATGAGCATGCATCAGCTTCATTTGTAGCCCACCCTACTTTCTCCAGACACACTTCCAGCCATCCTCCACCACCCACTGGCCAGGCACAACTGCATACACACACTGCCACCACTGTAGGACTAGCCTCCTGCCTCCCCTGAGGGAGACACCATCAAGACCAAGAGAAATTCCTACTAGCTGTTCACCAACCACTCCCGATCCTCCAGATCAGATTGGGGGCCCTGTGTCAATCACAGCCAATGGCCACCATCCCCTATAAGCTCAAGGGGCTACTGATGGTTGGTATACACTAAAATGCTAAGAGGTAGAGTACACTCACCTCATGAGGAAGTTACTCATTAATGTCAAACAGTGACCTGTTATTGAGGGGACACTGGTATTGGGCTGACCTAATTTTCTAAGGAAGAAGAGGCATAGACAGCATGAATCTATCTCTGAGTATGGGAAGGGGGCTCAGTGTGGCCCTAAGTTTCTTGCTGGGGTTCAGAAAAGACTACAGGGCTGGGCATGTCTCCCAGAATCTGTAAGATAGGGACTCACTTGAGAGGAGAGTGGCAGCCAAAGAGCAGAAAGAAATGTACTTGGAGGGGAAGACAAGGTCAGGGAGATGGGAGTGGGTGGTGCATGGAAGAATAGCCCCGCCATGGCCAGGCAGGGATGGAGGAGCAGGTCATGGGGGAAAGACAGGTATCCCAGACGGCCAGTAGTCTCCTGCTATGGAACAGGCTTCAGGGGCCCCAGGGAGAGCCTGCTGCAGCCCCTATTGTGGTTCTTCCCACCCGAGGCCAGACGCCTTGCCCCTGGCCTCCGCAGATCAGCTTTGGGACACTGGTAATTCCAGCTCCTCTCCAGCCTTACCTGTTCCCCACTAAGCTTCCCCATGTATATTGCTCCAGGGTAGCTGTCCTCAAACCATGTTCATAAGGGTTCCTCAGAAAACAACTTCCATGGTCAAATAAGTTTGAGACATGCTAGACAGTTCAGCTCTTTCCTCCTACAAAACTTTTCATAGTCAATGTGCATTGTAACTGAACAAGGACACCTAGGAATGAATTTCCTAAACTTATTTGGCCATAGAACCCTATTCAAGAGAACAGATGAGACATCTCCAAGGTCCCTTTTGTCATGGGCACATAGTTGGGGAACAGCATTCCAGAGTTCTCCTTTGAGCTTTCTGGAGGCTGCTTCATGGATGAGAAAACCTGCCCAAGGCCCTGGAAAGAACACTTGGATAGGGCCTAGGCGTGGCTCCCCAGAACCTGGTTTTCAAAAAGGCCACCAGCACCCTCCCTGCTGACCGCCTGGCCCCAAGGAGTCCAGTTCTGGCCACCTGGGGTCCCAGGCAGGTCAGAAGGGAGGGCTCAACAACCATTAGGACAATTAGGCAGTAAGTTCCCAATTTCCCTCCGCTGCTTCCCTGTATCATTCTCCTCCCTACCCCAACCCCTCCCCACTACCCACGGAGCCACATCTATTAGAGAGATTTTGAAGGAGATTTCCGAGCCCTCCACCCAGCCCCGACTCCAGCCCCTGCCGTGACGAGTGTGCCCCAGCGCCCCACTTGGTTTTCTCATTCATCACTGTGCACTTTGATTTCTAACCTGAGCCTCGCGGATGATGCCAGTTTGTTCTGTGATTTTTCCCCTTTTCCTTCTCCAGATGTCCAAACGGATTCTTCGGACAGAGATGTTTGGAGAAACTGCCTTTGCGATTGTACATGCCAGATCCTAAGCAAAGTATGTTTGAAGATACAAACACGAGTCCTTGCTCCTTAGAAAGCTTCCGGGTGCAGTCCCCCCACCGTAGGGCGTAGGGCCAGGGGTGTTGGTTGTTTTGATCTTTGGCTGTTTTGTTTTGTTTCTCTTTTTTGTATTTCGGTTTGTAAGTTCTTTTGTTTTGTTTTGTTTTGCTTTGTTTTTCATTTTTGGCCTAATCCTTGGGTTTAAAGTTCAGGGCTACAGGTAAGGGGCAGAGTGGCAAGGCCAGTACAAATGGTAACAGTGGCAAAGAACCCAGCTGGCATTGGCAGGAGCCCGTGCCGGGGTGTTGCAATGCCTGTGTCTTGCTATCCTGGCTCTCTCTTTCTGGTTTTCTTTCTTTTGGTAGGTGTCCTGTGGGATACACCGGGGACAGGTGTCAACAGTTCGCAATGGTCAACTTCTCCAGTATGTCTCTTTCTTCTATTTCTTTTCTTCCCTGGTGACTGATATTCTCCCCCTGTGGGAGGGATGGGGTCTTGCTTAGCGAGACTAGGGGGGTTCATGGGGGTGTCCTGGGCTTCTCTCAGTCCTCAGTGCTTCACTGGAAGCCTGTGCAGAGGAGACTGACACGCCCTTGCCACCCCCAACCCCCATATCGCTATACTGCCTAGGCTCAGTAACGCTGAGCTCTCCCTGCAGCCGGCTGGAGCCATGCTCAGGCCTCCTCACTGCTTCTGGGTCAGGCAGCCTGACCAGCATGGGAAGAAGTATCTGTGGAGGCCTCGCCTGGCTATGAAGGCCTGTTTGAGGATGTCAGGTCACTGATGGGGCCGGGCAGTGAGTGTGTGCACGTGTGTGCTGGTGTGCTTGAGAGAGAGAAATAAGTTCTCAGAAAGCCTTCGGGTCTGGCCAGAGTTGGTTTTGGTTTGGTTTGGGAGGAAAGGGTAGTGGGGGAGAGAAGTTGAGGGAGTACAGCCCCTAGGGCAATGGCTTCCATGTTGGCTAGAGACCGAAGACATTTATGTGGCTATGGGACGGGGTGCAGTAGGGGATGCTGAAGGTGCCAAAAGATAGAGGGACTAAGGAATCCAGGGATAATTGGTGACCCTCTCTAGGCCCTCTCTGGTCTGAGTCCCCATCCAGGTGTTCGTTCCCTTCCTTTCTTCCTCTTCTGGGGTTGGAGCTTTCTGGTGTGCACAGTTTGCTGGAAAAAAAAATGTGAGCCCTGCAGCAGGTGGATGAGGCCGTAATTGTGGAGAGTTCTATTTGGGGCTGGAAGTAGTTCCTTCAAGTGCCACCAGGTGGAGGCGGAGCAGAGCAAAAAGCCACTGCTGGCCTTGGACTCTGTGTTTGGGCCCTGTGGTCTGTTGGCCTACAAAGCTGGACCCTGTCACCCATTTTCCAGAGCACACTTGGCCCCTGCTTAGACCACCCCCACCTCCTCCAGGGAGGACTTCTGGGTCCCATGAGGAATTAGGAACCAGACTGAAGGAGCCTGGGCATGGAGAGATAGAGCTCCAAGAGAGGCCAAGGACAAGACCCAGGAGGCCCTTTAGGTGGCCCTTGGAGAAGGAGGTTTGGAGATTTGGGTCTCAGGGTGGAGAAATGAGCCTTTCCAAACCTCCCCAGGCCACAACACAAAAGTCTAGAAATTGCCGCCCCCCGCCCCCCCCC